ACATTAAAAGTGCGCTCACTACACGCTACTCTTAACTGCCTGATGTTTTCAGTCTGTGTAGTAGCGTAAAACTCTGACGTATCACACTCCCCACCAATAGCAGCCCTCTAGTCCACCAGGCAGTAAACATTCCCCCCCGCACCGCACCAGAAACGACTTCCCCCTGCAGGGCTTTTCTCCTGGTCTGTGGACGGTATTACATGTTCTTGTCTCTGTCTTACTGCATGTGTGAATATGGAATTGTTGAGAATGCATATGTATGTGACGTACCTGTGGAGTAATGCATGAGAACTTAAGAGCACAGAATTTCTCAATGTCATGTTCTAGATGAGAAAGTAAGGCATGTTATATATGTCGGACGGAAGGTACATATACTCCCAAATGTTTGTCAAAATATGTCAAGAGTTCTCATCAGAAGAATTAACAAGTTGTGGCATGCGATATTGTATGCCGCACAGGCTGCATTAGCCAAGGATCCAAGGGGAAAAAACTGTAATTTAGAAGTTTTGTTGTAGCTTATAAATGAATTTTCTTTGCTGTGCGTTGCACACTTAGGCTATGAAGAATATATGCCACTCATTAAAACTTTTGATTTCGTACACAAACTAAACTAATTGTTTTGTGTGCCCCACAGTATTCAGTCAACATGGCGAACGAAGCTCGAGACAACCATGCACAGATGATTGAGAGGGCCGAAATTGCAAATCTGGTTCGTTCACGCATGGAGAGCCTTAATCTTCCTAGCAGTGACTATGATGAAATCAGTGAGAAGAGGAACAGTCTGTCTTATGTAATCATCAACCCTAGTTGTGACCTCAAATTGGAAGAAGGTGATATCATGTAAGTATAATTTTTAATACTCTTCTCCTTCTTCAGTTGGCGCTACAGTTGCGAGTTCTCATGCCACAAATGGAGAAAGTTTGTATGAAGAAATAATCTTTCTTATCTTCTAGGAGTCAGTGATTCTTCCCTTATAGCCTTTCTATTTCCCTAGTGCAGTTCGAGCTATACGCGTTAAATGTATGTATTTACGCGTACCCATTTAACTCTGCAGCTATCTGGTTCGCCCCAGTCCATTCTCAGCCCAGAAGACTTTCGAGCGCCACAACAGCCGACGCAAGTCTAACATCAGTTTCTGCTCACAGCAACTAGTGCAGCAAATGGCTGCGAGTTCACAGGCAGGTAGCCGGAGGGCATCAGGACTGGGTCTCTCTGGTTACATGGCCCCTCGACCCCCTCCTCTTCTTACAACCAAAGCCAACTCTCTGTCGCTTCCAGACAGCCCTACCGTCGTCGGTGGTGGCCCTGGTTACAGAGGGCGATCAAACTCCCTTCGCATCATGGATGATAATATCCTTTTGCGTCGTTCCAACTCCTTGAGACAAGGATTCGCATCGGTTGGAAGTGGAAGGAAGAAAAGTAGTTTAGAGGATTTGGGAGTTGATTTCGCAGGTGTTTCCAACCCGTCAAAACAGAGCATTCCCATCAAGATTGCTCTGAATGGCAGCATCGGACTTGAGGTGACACCGCCAGATGATAGCAACTCACCCAGTGAGGCGAGCAGCAGCGGACAGTTGAACTGTGGAATTCCAATCCTTAGGACTGGGGTTGGTGTTGGCACAAGTGCAAGTGGTGGTGTCTCAGGAGAAGGTGCTGACTCAGGAGTTGAACCTTCTGAGGATTCAGGTGCATGTGGTGGAAGTTTGGATGTGTCTGGTTTAGGGGGCAGTAATGAAGAAAACTTCCCTAGTGCAGGACCAGTGTCAGCGACAACACAGCCGACAGTCACAGACCTACAGCATCTTCAGGGCACTCTGGTATGATATCATATCATGTGGGGGAGGAGACTCAGTAGCATGGTTCGCAACAAGTGGCTGTGAACCAAGCTCCTCATTTCCTCATCGATTTCTCTTCCTGTGCCACATCAGCTGCACCGAATTGCACGCTGACCTTATTGAATTTTTTAAGGTCGTCAGAACAACTTGATTATCTCTTTGACGACACTTTTCCAGTTGCTACTTGGCAGGAAAATACGTGTTTATAAGAAATTGGAAAAATGGTTACAGGAATCTGAGATGGAAATAAATAATAAAATATTTTATTATGTGGAAACAGTTCTTCAAAATAACAGTAGATAGCTGATAAAATTTTCGAATTTTGATAATTAATATGAATCGGTGCAGCTCAGTCAGCTGCGGAATGGACGACGGGGGTTTTATCCGTGACAGGGCAGAGGATTTTTCATCTAGCCCCTGCGTCCAGACCGGTTCTGGAGCCGACCCAGCCTCCTATCAAATGGTTACCGGGGTCCTTTCCTGGGGGTGAAGTGCGACTGGGGCATGACGCTGACCATTCACCCCCATCTAGTGCCGAGGTCAAGAATGAGTAGGAGCTGTACTTTCTCTCCCCCCAAGCGCGTGCATGGGGTATAATGGGACAGCTTTACTTATTTTTACTAATTAATAGGCCTTCTGATAGAATGATTCAAAATAATATAATTATTGAATAAATGGGTGAAAATTATATTGTGATAGGATCAGAAATACTCATGAAATGAGTGGGACAAAGAAGAATATATATAGGTCCTCTGTACATTGGATTGTAACATACTGAATTATATATTTATAAAGATTCATTTGATTCGCTGAACTTTTGCTTACCCCCCTCTGCAACATTGAACTTTCTATGTTTTGAGGATAATATTAGGATTTTTTGGAAGGAGGTTCATTAAACCCATCCCATTCACTTTAGTGCCGGTGTGTGCGTGCGTGTGGGTATATATGTTGTGTTCATAACCTATTCTGTGTGATCTAAGTTTTTATTGGTCTCGTATTACGAGTGAATGGGAATTCGGTTAAGAATGGAACAATGAGGTTAAAGTAAGAATGCAACTTGATGAAAGGGATCAGAATTTTTTGCACAGTTCTCACAAAAACAAAGTAAGTTGGATATTTTTCAGTGCTACACATTTTCTATTATAACCTCTAATTCTTTATGTTCTTAATTTGCGTTCTTTCACTTTCTCCATGACTGTTTGTAAGTAGCAGGTATACTTTTAGACTAACATTGCAACTGTACTTCTATTTATTATTCCTAAACACTTTTGGAGCAGTTTATGTTTCCATATTTTGTTCAGACAATCAGGATTTCTTCACCATGTCTGTTTATATTCCAGTGGCCATTTTGTTATTCCAGTGGCCATTTTGATATTCTGTTTGTTTACATTCTGTTAGCACAAAAGAACTTTGCACTTTCAAAATGAGACAGAAAACAAATGTGGCATATTTAAAACTTATAATTATTACCAAATAACACTGACTTTCTTTCCCTTGTGTGCATACGTGTACAAGCCTGTCCTATAAATAGTACACTGTGCGTTAATGGTGTCGAAATAATAATCTTATATATAAATATGTGACGTCTCTGTTGAACTGTTTCCACAGCATTAATTGAATTTGAAACAGTGACTATTTGACACACATTGCCTCAGTGGTATATTCAGAAAGATTAAACTTTCCTTGGATAAATTGCTTGAAGCAGCTGTTGCCATAATGTCTTTGTCGTCTCATCAACAGAAATATTTTTGTGCAGCTCACGGTGGCTTGAAATTGTAAATTACAAGTCCTTTTCTCTGTAGATGTTTTTCTTAGTGCCTCGGATTCTGTGTATGGGACACATGGGATTCCTTTTACGTACCTGTCTTGAAACAACAGAAATATGCCGCAGATACAATAATGCACCTTTACTAGAACATAAGCTGACATTCGACATTGCCGATGAATTGGACGGAAACAGAATATTCTGTAAGAAAAAGATGCACTGGCAGTTTTTGAAAAGTGATTATGTAAACAATTATATTCTTTAGCCAAAAAAAATTATTATAACGAAAGTATATCCTAGCATTTAATTAACCTTGAATAATTTAAGTATGTAAATGTTTCTCATAAGAAATCATGGTAATACATTTCAGACACTTTGTGTCAAAAGATTAAGTACTTATCAGAAAAATGCAGAATGACTGGATATTAATTAGGTTATGGATTGGTTGTGCTAGTTTGTGACGATGCTCTAATATGATAATGGGAGAATTTTCTTTAGTCGCTACCCACTGTCTGCATAAAAATACTTACGACATATCAGAGGATGTCTCTTTCTTAGCCTTCTAATATAATAAAATAATATGTACTCTATGGGGTTCATTACATAAAGTTACTCTTTATAATTCGGTGACTTAATTTTATAAATGAATTGAAATATAAACACTTTCTTCATGTAGGCAACTTCCCAAGTTATGAGATGATAGACTGTAGGAAGATGCAGAATTCTAATAAGACGAAAATAGCGTATTCCTCCAGGAAATTACTATGCTAATAATTATTTCACGTTCCAAAATAATTAAAATCCAAAAACGTTTTAGAGAAAATAAGCAGAGTAATAAATTTTTGGTTCATCTAATGTAAAGTGATTTAACTGCATTAAGCTTTTTTTTTTTACCTTTTTTTAATACATAGGAAGGAATAAAGTCTGATATTGTCATAAACAATAAAACTGGAATACTCAATGCCATTATGTTCATAAAAATTTTATAAACAATCTTACCTGACCATATCATTCATGGTGCACAACTTATAAAAAGTCTGATATAGCCATTATTGTTTCTCAAGCACCTACCCGGAACAGGTTTCATACATTTGGAATGTTTTAATATTCAGCCGAGAGTTCCATAAAATATATATAATTTTTAAATTTGAATTTTCACTGGCTCCATATGTTGAACATAAGGATAACTTTGTTTCCTCTCTTTTGTTCTAAATGTTTTAATGCGTTATGATCAGCCCTTAACCTTGTTTGTTCACATCACACATGCCCACACCCAAACCTTGCAGATTGAGGTTAGGTTGACTTAAAAGTAATGAATGGAAATGAGAGCAAATTGGAGGTATATATTTCAAAAGTATACATTACCTGTGAACCTGACTCAACTCTCCATCAGTAATTAATGCACATATTTAGTTTAATATTTGTTACCACCAATAGCAAAGCTGTATTGAACAGCATAAGGAATAAATCAGTCTTGAAATGTCTCGCATAGGCTTACCATAGTAAAAAATAGTCATATTGAAGCTACAGAGTGAAACTGGCATTCTAAGTGTTTTAATGCTTTATGAAGAGCCCTTAACCTTGTTTGTTCACATAACACACCCACACCCAAACCTTGCAGATTGAGGTTATGTTGACTTGAAAGTAATTGAAGGCAATGGGATCAAGTTTGAGGTATATATTTCAAAAGTATACATTACTTGTGAACCTGACTGAACTCTCCATCAATAACTAATTCACATACAAAACTTAATATTTGTTACCACCAATAGCAAAGCTCTATTGAACAGCATAAGGAATAAATCAGTCTTGAAATGTCTCACCTAGGCTTACCATAGTAAAAAATAGTCATACTCAAGCTACAGAGTGAAACTGGCATTCTAAGTGTTTTAATGCGGTATGATCAGCCCTTAACCTTGTTTTATTCACATCACACATGCCCACACCCAAACCTTGCAGATTGAGGTTAGGTTGACTTGAAAGTAATTGAAGGCAATGGGATCAAGTTTGAGGTATATATTTCAAAAGTATACATTACCTGTGAACCTGACTGAACTCTCCATCAGTAAGTAATGCACATTTTTCAGTTTGCTTTCAAAGGGCCAAGTATGATAAATGAGACTCAAAAGGTTTTGGTGCATGAAGTAGATATTTATGTGATGCCTCTATATATGTTGTATGTATGGTGAATGAAAACACTTTACAGATTTTGTGACTTAATAGGGTACATTTGCTATTTCTTTTCTTAAATCTGGCTATTGTACTAAGTTGTTTTGGTCTCCTTTCTTGGGGGCTGAGTTGACTGCCAGTACAATACCAAAATGGGTTGGATGAGGGAACAATTAGTCTAGACATAGCACATATACATATATATAGATATACATGTTGTTATGTGGAACGTTATTTGCGTCTTCTCCCGAGATACAGTTGCCTTCAATACCCCGTCTCTTTCATCCCAAGAAACAGTATTTTGAAATGAGCATATTGCATGCTTGAACAGCATGGACTTCTCAATAAAAGACAAAATTAAAAATACTTGTCAGTAGAATGAATATTTTTCTGAGTGTCGATATTCCGGTAGACATTTTATTATCCTTGTTTTGTATTTTTAAATTTACAATACATTCGCACTTCAGAATGTCTTTGCAGATGTACATATTGAGTAATATTTGTTTTAATTAATATTTTATTAATATGAAATTATTAATTTGAAATTATGACTCGGTAGTACACAAACTAGAAAGTTATTTCATAACTTATAATACAACATTTAAGGTACTAGAAAAAAAAGATACAGCAAAACTTGGAGAAAAACATAAAGAATTTCCCATATGTTTTGTTACTAAACTTAGTCAGTATTTTAATTTGCAGCAAATTTTAAAAAATAAATTCAAATATTAAATGCTTTTTTTGTACCATTAGAATGTTCCCATGCAATTTACACAGTTCAGAGATAAGCAGAAGTCCCTGTTTCAAGACCCTCAAGGGACAGTTGTGATATGAAATATTTGTCTTGATTTTACTAGCTTATTGAATCAAATAACCACTACCTCACATAAATACAAAACCTTTTAATAATATGAAAAGTCCTAGAAATTACGACATATGAATGTGAGTTTAAATATACCACTTGTCTCTTTTGATACTAACCATAGCATAAAGATAATTGATTTCTTAGAAATTCTAATATTAGTTTGTATTCAGAGTGGGATTCTAAATTATTTTCGATAGAAATACGCATATCCCTTCCTTCTCGTATCGCATAAACTGGACATCTTATTTTGTTAAGAAGATGAAGTGAAGTGTATCTAATAAATACCTGACCACTGACAATTTAAAAATTCAGGATTTAGTCTTCGTTATGTCTGTCTTTTAAATTTGAAACATACAGATTTCCAGAAAGTACTTGATTCGTCTCCCCCACTTACAAGTGGTACTTAAATAGGACAAAACATGTAGTGCGATGGTTCTATATAATATCAGATCAATTGAAAATAACAATTACAAAGAACAAAACAGAATTCATTAAAATGAATCCTCAAATCAGAGATCTTTTTTTCAGTATCATGTAGAATAGTCTTATCTTCTAAATCCAGCTTCAGTGAAGTTCGCCATTTAATGCTGATGTTAGTTAACACAGAAAAGTTTTGTATGTTTCTAACATGGACTCTTTTTCGAAACAGCGTAGGACCTTCGCGTTCCCTCATAATGGATATGTACGTATGTTCACCATAAATTAAAAAAAAAATGTATCTTCATATAACTGTATGCTGTTGTTCTCAGATTTACCCAACCGTCCAACTTTCTGTCATGTCCGTGTTGAAGTTTCAACTTGTGCATTAGCGTTGATTTAATTAACAATATTGTAGTTATGTAAGATTTGAGGTTTTCACAGCGGTGAGTATGAAGATTTCTGTCTTCTCGGTTGTTGCGCCGTGTAGACTGGTAGATGTTTACCAACGTTTCAGAGGTCGTACTGCCTCCATCATCAGGGCGATGAGTATGAAGATTTCTGTCTTCTGGGTTGTTGCGCTGTGTAGTCTGGTAGACGTCGTCGCCCTGATGACGGAGGCAGTATGACCTCTGAAACGTTGGTAAACATCGACCAGACTACACAGCGCAACAACCCAGAAGACAGAAATCTACAATATTGTAGTTCTTTATTTTTAGACTTGGAAGTGGGACGATGAATCTAGGTATTGAAATCTACAAAGGTATCTGTAAGATTTTCACTTCACCTTTGTTTATGATTCCAGTTGCATCAACCGATTGTTTTTAGTAAATTGTTAATGTCAGATATACCGTAGCAGGAAGAATAAAGATTTTTTTCTTTGTACCCATCTAGCTTAGGAATTTTTTTACTGCTTAGTTTCACTTTTTGCAGTTAAAAAATTTTTTTTGTGGAATATATGTTTTTTTACATTCTGAACCTGCTCTCTAATTTGGACCACATTTTAATCATGGACCTCATTGTAAAATATATTGCTTATCAGTGAATTTGTTATATGTTAGAAGTGTACATAGCTTAATATTTGTTACCATCAATAGCAAGGCTCTGTTGAACAGCATAAGGAATAAATCGGTCTTGAAATGTCTCACCTAGGCTTACCATAGTAAAAATGCTATGTTATGACTTTGGTCTTATTCAAGCTACAGAGTGAAACTGGCATTCTAAATGTTTTAATGCTTTATGACGAGCCCTTAACCTTGTTTGTTCACATCACACATGCCCACACCCAAACTTTGCAGATTGAGGTTAGGTTGAATTAAAAGTAATGAAAGGAAATGAGAGCAAGTTTGAGGTATATATTTCAAAAGTATACATTACCTGTGAACCTGACTCAACTCTCCATCAGTAATTAATGCACATATTTAGTTTAATATTTGTTACCACCAATAGCAAGGCTCTATTGAACAGCATAAGGAATAAATCAGTCTTGAAATGTCTCACCTAAATAGCAAAGCTCTATTGAACAGCATAAGGAATAAATCAGTCTCGAAATGTCTCACCTAGGCTTACCATAGTAAAAAATAGTCTTATTCAAGCTACAGAGTGAAACTGGCATTCTAAATATTTTAATGCTTTATGACGAGCCCTTAACCTTGTTTTATTCACATCACACATGCCCAAACCTTGCAGATTGAGGTTATGTTGACTTGAAAGTAATTGAAGGCAATGAGAGCAAGTTTGAGGTATATATTTCAAAAGTATACATTACCTGTGAACCTGACTGATCTCTCCATCAGTAACTAATGCATATACATAGCTTAATATTTGTTACCATCAATAGCAAGGCTCTATTGTGATAGAGTATTTTTATTATTTCTGTTGTGTGATATATAATTGAATTTTTAATAATATGAAATATTTATTCACTTAGAAACATCCAGGTGCCTAAAAGACAGTATGACAACAATTATAAGACGTCCTTCTTGTGTTTTTTAAGGACTTAATGGCATTTGTTAAAACTGAAATATTTTCTTTTTAGATATTACTTTCGTCCTGTTTCGTTTACTGGAATACCAGTTGTACTTAATGTAAGAGGTTATTCCTCTCACATCAAACAAAGAAATAAGTTCTTAGATGAGATATAATCATTTAAGTGCAAAATTGATCTATTTACATTCCTACAATGCTGCAACTGTCTGATATTCTTGGGTGTAGAAGATAGAATCATGAAAAATAAAATACAGCGATGCTGGAAGTGGGGGACAAGGGAATGTAGGATTATTATGTAAAAGTGACAGAGGTCTTAAGAATCAGTCTCACATCTTTTCAGTCAATGCTTTTTATTGACGTTATAGAGAAAGATATGTTATAAATTTTCCAGGACTGCGTCAATACTCGTCAAACATGTACGATGTTTTCCGAAGTTCTGTTTGTCTTCTTATACTGGCAATACCAATGTCAACAACAAAGGTATCTTTCACCTTTGTTACTGAATCGATTTGCTGCAAATTTTGAATAACGCTGGCAGTCTGATAACATATTAACACTAAAAATATATAGAACACTGAACCACGCAGAGGTATTTGTCATCAATATACATCCCGGAACACCTTTTGGGAGACACGATAGTTCTCAGTAGAATCTTCTCGGGCGATCAGCCTCGTCAACTGGTTTACTATGGCAACCAGTTGATTGGCCGAGAAGATTTTATTGATTGTACTCGCCACGAAAGTCTCAAATCCTATATAATAGTTCTATCACAATAAAAAACACTTGCCCCTATATAGTGCCAGTATATGGAGGTTTATCTCCGCTCCGCAATGCATTTTCATTTCATGTGCTTAGGCATAGGAACTTTATATTTATAATACAAACTCTGTAAATTATGATAATCTTCAAAATAAATCAAAATTAATTTGTGCCAATAGCAAATAACTTTATGTAAATATCTGCACGTGTTGAAAACTACTGATTTTTTTAAATCTGCTGTAAATTGTAGTAGTGATGACGGTCCTGATCAGTGGTGCAAACCTGTTCTTTCAGTCTGATGTACCATCGACAGTCGATCTCCTTACCCTCCCAGTTTTGTACTGACAGCTGTCTGAGTGTACGGAAGGCATAAATATAAATTGTACTAATATTTTTAAGTAAATCACATTTAAGGAAAAACATTTGTTTTTTTTTTATGTCGGAGCAAACATAATTTTTATCCAGTAGATCTTCATAATATGAAGAACTCCCCATCCATGCGCTGTACCCTATAATCCAGGAATATCGTAACCAGTATTTTAATTAAGTTTCTAGTGAATCATAACTTTGTGTTTTTTGTTATTTTGTTTGTAGACTAAAATTATGTACGTAATAGAGTTTATCATTATTATAATACAGCAAGATATATGTACATTCTCTCTCTCTCTATATATATATATATATGTGTGTATGTATTTACGTACGTATGTATTCAGTAGAGTCCTGATTATCCAACGTAAATGGGACTTATGACGAAAATACAGTACAGAATCAAATTAAATCTCTCACAAACAAAAATAGTATTTAATATAATGTGAATTTGTAAATGAAAGAGTTTATTTTTTTAATAAATTAGTAATGAGTATTTACATCAGAGCCTCCTCCCTCAGCAAAGTAATGCCATCGCCCGAACAGGAGTATGTCCGTAGCGTCCGAGTACGTAAACCATATAAGTTGCGTAATGGCGGGAAAGTGA